GTTATATCAAATGTTGAGAAAGTGTTTAAGTTTTCTCCCTTTATTTCCAAGAAATCTTCCCTCCATGTTCTAAAACTATGTTATTAAGTGCATCTCTGATCACTAACATCCTCCTGATTGATTCTCCTGTGTTTAAATTTTCTCTTATCTCTGCTTCATATTTAAATCGTCTCTTAACATACCACATATTTTTTGTCTCACTTTTTTATCTCCTCTGACACCTTCTGTTTATTAATTGAAGCATACAGACCAGGGACCATTCTTGTTTTTAAATAGTTTACAATCTAAGAAAAGTTTTACATTTTTTAAGTCATGTGAAAAGGAAGAGAAGGAGGAAAGTAAGGAGGAAAAGAGGAAAGGAGAAGGAAAAAAGGGATGATAAGGAGTGGCGGAGGAATAAGGGAGAGAGGGGAAAAGATAGTGAAGAAAGGGACCAAAGATTCAGCAAGAGCTACAGAAATAGTGTATGTCCTGTAATACCCAAAATATGTTATCTAACTCTTTTCAGAAAAAGTTTGTCAAGCCCAGTTTTAGACCATTAGCAGCTAGCCTGATTATCAACCAGTTAAATAGATATATTTGTTTATTTTTGGTTTTGCTGTCTGAAATCATTACCAAGACCAGAACCACGAAGATTTACTCCTTGCATTTTCTAGGAATATTACAGTTTAAAGTCTTATGTTCAAGTCTTTAGTCCCTTTTGTTGATTTTTGTATGTGACTTAAGCATCCAGTTTCATTCTTGCATGTAGATAACAAGTTTTACCAAAACCATTTGTTGAAGAGATTATCCTTTCCCTGTGGGTATTCTCAGCAAGATCAATTAACTGTATCTGGATGGATTTATTTCTGGGATCTTTATTCTGTTTCATTAGTCATGTGTCTGATTTAATTCTATTAACCATACTGTGTTGATTAATGTGCTTTATAATATATTTTGAAATAAGAAAATGTAATGACTATCTGTATTATTTCCATAGTATGTTTTATTTGTCCATTCTGAGCCTATTGTGGTTCAAAATTAATTTTATGATATCTATGAAAAAAATGCCATCATGATTTTAATAGGGATTGAATTGAAGCCATACATCACATTGAGCAGTGTGGATATTTTAACAATATTGATTCTTCCAGTCCATCAACATTGCTTATCTTTCTGTTTGTGTAGTGTTTAATTTCTTTTACCAATGTATTATAACTTATACTGTGTATTTCACTTCTTAATTAAGTTAATTCCAATTATTTCAATCATTTTATTGCTATTGTAAATGGATTTTTTTCTCTAATTTCATGTTTAGCTTGTTCATTATTCATGTGTAGAAATACAACTGATTTTTGTAGGCTGGTTTTGTATTCTATAACTTTATCTAATTCATTTAATAGGTCTACTGATCTTTATGAAGTATGTAGGACTTTCTATATATAAAATCATGTAATTAGCAAACAGGGACAATTTTACTTCTTCTTTTTCAATTTTCAACAAGCCACTAGGTCAAGGAAGAAATACACAAGGAAATTACAAAACACTTCAAAACAAATGAAAATTCAAGTACAACATACCAAAATAAAAATAATCTCAAGTAAACAACTTTACATCTCAAGGAAGCAGAAAATGAACAAATTAAACCCAGGCTAGCAGAAAGGAATAAAAATTCAAGCAGAAATAAATGAAAAAGAGAATAGAAAAAATGAAATTAAGTTGGTTGTTTAATAAACAAAGCAAGACCCTCCCTGGTGGCGCAACCAGCTAGGATGCAGCACTGGAAGCTGGCAATAGCCACTTCAGTGTGAGTTCGATTCCCAGCTTTGGAGGTGACACACATGGCGCAGCAGACCTCTCTTGTCTCACCTGCTGCTCCCCTCAACAGTGTACTTTGTCATTCTGCCTACTCTGCTCCCCACTCTGCCTCTGGTGAATCCTCTCACTGCCCCTGCACCTCTGTCCTGTACCTCAGTTTTGTATGAATAAATAAATCTTAAAAAAAAAAAAAAGCAAAGCAAAATTGACAAACCCTAAGCTAGACTTAAAAAAAAAACCTCTATTGTATATCATTAAAATATAAAAATAGCACAACAGTCTCCAAATTGAAATAAATATTCATGCAACATTTAATGCAAGCTTGTAACTCCTTTTTGTTATCTTCATGAAGGGAATTTTTCCTGTGACACTGAAATCTCTTGATATTAACCTTCAATCTTAAAAAAAATCTAAGCAAATTGGTGATATTTCCAGTAATTTTTAAAATCTGGTTGTATTATTTTAAGTAAAATAAATGATGCTTGTTTTAAAAATAGACTCAAATCAGAAGTGAAAGAAGAAACATTATAGCTAATTCCACAGAAATAAAAAGTCTCATAAGATAATAACATGTATAATTTATTATATGTTAACAAACTGGGCAATTTAGAGGAAATATACACATTTCTAAAACCATATAACCTAACGAGTCTAAATCATGAAGAAATAGAAAGAC